TGTATGTATGTATGTATGTATGTATGTATGTATGTATGTATGTATGTATGTATATAGATAGACAGATAGATAGATAGATAGACAGACAGACAGACAGATAGACAGACAGACAGACAGAGGGCACAAGGTGAGTTAAAAATGAAGGGGTCATATCTGGAGAATAAAATTAAGGGGTAAGAGAGGACTATACTAGGAGAAGGAGAAAGGGAGAAGTAGAACAGGATAAATTATCTCACAAAAAACAGAAAAGAAAAGGCTCTTACAGTGGAGGGGAAATGGGGGAAGGTGAGAGGGAATAAGTGAATCTTATTCTCATAGGATTTGACTTAAGGAGGGAAAAACATACACACTCAATTGGGTATGGAAATGTCTTACCCTACAGGAAAATAGGGGGGAAAGGGGACAAGACAGAAGGGGGATGATAGAGAGGAGGGCAGATTGGGAAAGGAGGTAATCAGAAGCAAATACTTCTGAGGAGGGACAGGGTCAAAAGAAAGAATAGAATAAACGGTGGGGCAGGACAGGATTAAGGAAAATAGAGTTCGTTTTTCACAGCATGTCTACTATGGAAGTGTTTTGCATAACTGCACATGTATAACCTATATTGAGTTGCTTGCCTTTTCAATGAGGGTGGGTGAGGAGGGAGGAAGAGAGAAAATTTGAAACCCAAAGTTTTAAAAACACATGTTTAAAAAAATGTTTTCACATGCAACTGGGAAATAAGAAATACAGGAAATGGGGTGCAGAAATCTATCCTGCCCTACAGGAAAATAGAAGGGGAAGGGGAAAAGAGAAGTGGGGGAGAGAGATAGAAGGGAAGGCAGACTAAGGGAAGAGGTATTCAGAATGCATGCCATCTTGGGGTAGGGGGAGGGGTGAGATGGGATGAAAATTTGGAACTCAAAATCTTGTGGAAGTAAATGTTGAAAACTAAAAATAAATAAATTTATTAATGAAAAAAAAAGGAAAAAAAATAAGACCCCAGAAAAATTACTTACATCAAAGTCTGGTACAGTGGGCTCTCGGAAATCGGTCCATAATTTTCTGGGAATAACCCCTACAGGAATATCATGTGTTACAATGCGACTACTGCTTGATAAAGACGGCTGCCAAGAAAAAACACATACTTGGAAGTTAATTTTTTAATGTTATCAATAAAAAGTCCTAAACTCAGAAAACAGGAGGTGACAAGTTGGTAATATGAAATCTATATTGATATTTCTCAAGTTACTTTTTCCTTTCAATTCATGTCTTTGTGCCTCAGTTTCTCTACTACTAAACTGTTGAGAATAATAGAAAATATTTCACAGGGATGTTTGAAACTAATAATATCTCAAAAGTGTTTTCACTATAGGCATACTTCATTTTATTGCACTTTGCAAATATTACGCTTTTTATAAATTAACTGTTTATGCAACCCTTCATCAGTTAAGAAAAATAACAAATGTTGTAAGAGACATGGAAAAATAGGGCCACTAATGAACTGGTGGTGGAGTTGTGAACTGGTCCAATCACTCTGGAAAACAATTTGGAACTATACCCAAAGGACCAAAACCTTTACATACCTGTAAAGGCCCAAAACCCTTTACAACTCTGTACATACCCTTTGACTAAACAATACCACTACTGGTCTGTATCCCAAAGAGATCAAAAAGGGAAAAGGACCCATTTGCACAAAAATATTTATAGCACCTCTTTTTTGTGGCAGCAAAGAATTGGAAATTAAGAGGATGCCCATCAACTGAAGAATAGCTGAACAAGCTGTGGTAAATGATTGTGATGGAATACTATTGTGCTGTAAGAAATAACAAGGTCTGTTTTGTTTTGTTTCCTCTTTCTTGTGGTTCCTTCTATGGGTTCTAATTCTTTACACAACATGACTAATGTGAAAATATGTTTAGTAGGAATATATACGTATAGCCTATATCAGACTGCGTCTTGGGGAGGGAAGTGGGGAGAAAGGAGAAAAATTTAAAGGTCAAAATCTTATGGAAGTGATTGTTGATAAATTAATAAAAAAAATGACAAGAAGGATGGTTTCAGAAAATCTGAGCAGTCTTATATGAACTGATGCAAAGTCAAGTGAGCAGAACCAGAACACTGTATACAATAATGATGACCAACTGTGAAAGAGTTAGCTGCTCTGATCAATTCAATGATCCAAGACAATTCCAAAGGAACCAAGATGAAAAATGCTATCCACCTCCAGGAAAAGTGATGAGCTCCGAGTTAATCACTGAAAAAACTGAGATTTTTCACTTTATTTGTATGTGTGTTTCTTTTGTAACATGGCTAACACAGAAATGTTTTTTACATGACTGCACATGTATAATTGGTAGCACATTGCTTGCTTTCTCAAAGAGCATGAGAGGAGTGGAAGGAAGGGAGAGAATTTAGAACTCGTAATTTAAAAAAAAGAATGTTAGAAATTTTAAAAAATGTAACTGGTAAACATTTAATGAAATAAATAAATATATATTTTAAAAAGCTGATATTACTCCCTCTCACACCCTCTACTTTGCAGCCAAACTAACCGCTTTGTTGTTCCCTGTTCCCAATACATTCTGACTCCTACGGCTGTGCTGTCCCCCCAAGTCTAGAATTCTCTCCCTCTCTACCAACACCTCTTAGAATCCCTAGCTCCCTTCAAGGCTCAGCTCAAGTGTACTTCTCCTACATAAGATCTTTCTTTACCCTCCTCCTCCTCAAATAATTTGTATTTACTTTGTATATATTTTGTACTTCCTTCTATGTGTATATGATTTCAAGATCAAGAATAACTTTCCAGGGAGCAGCTCGGTGGTGCAGTGGATAGAGCACAGGCCCTTAAGTCAGGAGGACCTGAGTTCAAATTCATCCTCAGACCAAACACTTGACACTTACTAGCTGTGTGACCCTGGGCAAGTCACTTAACACTAATTGCCTTAAAAAAAAAAAAAGAATAACTTTTCAATCCCCCGCTCCAAACAGTGCCTTGAATTTGGGAAATAGTCAAGGAAAGTTTTTTTTTTTAATTGAAACATAGTATCCAAAACAATGGAGTATATTATCTTACTATACATTGAACTAGTTATATCACCTCCAAAATACTGCTTTTATTTCTGGGTAACACTTTTAATAAAGACACTGAAAAACTACATCAAAGGGAAAGGAGGCAACTCAGATAATTAGGCGAACTCAAATCTAAGCTGTACAATGATCTACTGATGGAAATAAGGATGTTTTGCAGATGTTCAGCCTGAAGAGAATGGACAAGCTGATGACTGTCTCTTTGAGCCCAAAAAGTAGAATTAAGAGCAACTAATAAAAGCTGCAGTAAAGTAGATTCTAGAAAAACACTTCCTAATAATAAGAACTCACAATAAATGGAATGAACTCTATCTCTCTCCTTACCTGTACATTCTGAAATCCCTGGATTCCTTTAAGATTCAGCTCAAGCACTGCCTTCTGCACAAGACCTTTCCTTTCACAGGCTTTCCATTTGCTATTCCTCTTCCCTCACCACAAACCCCTCAATGTCCCCCAGGTTACTTTGTAGCTGATTTGATTTGTGTACACACACACGTTGTCTCCTCTATTAGAATACAAGCTCCTGGGGAGCAGTAACTGTTTTGCATTTGTCTTTGTATCTCACTGAGTTGCATGCAGTCACCATGCTTCTTTATTAGTTAATTTGTTAGTAAGGCCTATATTCTCTATCATTTGAGGTCTTCAAACAGAAGACAGATGACCACATTTTGGCAACGATGTAAAAGGGGTTCCTGCTCAGGGAATGGGTTGGATTAGCTGATCTCTCTGGTCATTTCTAACTCTCACATTCAACATTATCTATTGAACTCCCTATTTTGGCCAAGGCCCTGGTGATATTAAATTAAGTAGGATGTGAATGCTGGCCCTCCAGGAGCAAGTAAGTAATTTTAGGGAGGAAGCTTGGTGCAATTAAAAAAAGACTGAATCAGAAGTCAAAGGACCTGGGCTCAAGTGCAACTTTCTAGCTGTATGACCTGAAATAAGTCATTTAACTTTCTGAGGTTTTCCTTTGTAAAATAAGCATAATTAGCTGTACTATCTGCTTCAGAAAGCCTTTGTGAGGAAATCATTCTAAAAACTTTAATGTCCTAAAAGCCAGGTGAAGTTTTTAAAAATTTCATAATGGTATCATGGTGTGGTGGACTTGAAACCAGGAAGAGCAGGGTTAGAATCTCACCTTAAAACACTTACTAGCTGTGTAATCTTGGGCAAGTCATTTAATATCTCCAGAACTCAGTTACCCTATCTGTAAAATGAGGGGCTTGGACTTGATGACCCTCAAGATCCCTTTTCACCCACTCTAAATCAATGATCCTATATTAAATTCAATAGGAATATAAAAGTTTCATATACAAAATGTTTGTCTCCAAACAAGTCTCTGGACTTGTTACATATTATTTAACTCCACAAACACCTTCTAGTAAACTCAGCCAGTTTGGTGCTTCTCATACATGACACTCCATCAGGGCTTTCTGAACAAGATGCCCTTTATGTCTGGAATACATTTTCTTCCCAACTCTGACCTGACTTCCTTGAAAGTTCTGTTCAGCTGTCACCTCCCACAAAATGCCCATTTCCCTCTCCTTCCCTTGACAGCACTTTTCCTCCAGGAATCACTTTGTACATACAGTATTTTGTGTTTAGTGCGTACACGGTTCCCCCCCCCCATAGAATTCAAACTCCTCGTGGGCAGGAGCTGTTTCTTGTTTGTCTCTATCCCCAGCACCTACCACAACGCTTTGTAGGCTCCCAGGAAAATCGTGTTGAACTGAATGACAGCTACAAGATAGTATCAGTCAAGTGGCAAAGAAGGAAACCCCCATCCCCCACGTTGTGTGAACTCACCAGCTCCACAGCCACGGTGAGGCAGGGGCAGTGTTTGTTGGTCAGTTTGATCTTCACTGTTTTGGCATTCTGGGCCGTTTTCAAGGCTCTGGATAAGTTTTCCGGCGTCAGCTCCAAATAGATTTCATTGTGATCCGCTGCGACCCCTTCCATTTGAAATTCGTCGAAGAAGTTGCCCTACGAACACAAAGTTAGGCTGGCCCGGGGGTGACTCGAGGGGGTGCCGGCAGGAGGGGAGGGGGGCCTGCGGGGTGACGCCAGGCGGGGGGAGGGGCTCACCTGGCCCAGTTCGCACCACATGCTGACCCCGCCATTGGCCACCTTGTCGGACAGAATGAAGTAGAGCTTGTCGGGACTGAGGCGCAGCGTGCACGTCTTGGCCAGCTTGGAGATGGTGTTGCTGACGCCTGGGGCGGCGGGGCATGGAGAAGAGCGAGGGTGAGACGATGGCTGCCCCAGGGGAGGGCAGAGACCCGACCAGGCCCCGAGGGAGAGGCCCCAGCTTGGAAGCAGGGGCTCTTTTGTTCATCCCTGACGCTAATTCCGCGGCTGGCACACAGTAAGCGCGTAATAAATACCAGTTGGCTGTCTGGCTGACCAAACGCCCCACCGAGTACCCTAGTGCGAAGGAAGAGCGACCCCCCCCCCACTCCCATCCCTGCGCAACTTCCGGCGCGCGCGAGCGCTTCCCACCCCCACGCTTCCTTGGCACAGCCTCACTCCCGCACCCCATGCACGAGCGGCTCACGGGTGAAGTGATTCAGGCAGCCCAAATCCACGATCTTGGCCCGGAACCTCATAGCGCCGTGGTGGCAGCTGCAAGACCGTAATGCTCGCCACACTCTGGTGGTCCCCTTTCTTCCCCTACGCGGCTTCCCGCGCCGGAAGCGCGCGCCTAGCGCCGGTTGCCGCGGCGACGCCAGGGGCTGGAGGCCTCCTACCCTTTGACCCAAAGCGGTGACACTGCGCCTGCGCAAGCCGATTTGGACTGCTCAGGCGGGAGTTGGTGGGACTTTGAGAGAAGCGTGGAAGTAACTGGCGTAACCTGTAATCGTTGTTCATTTCTTTTTCTGAGTAAGAAAAGTTTGCATTTCCCCCCCCCCCCCGTATGATAGTTTGAGCCCTTGAGGAAGCTCCTGCTGTGGTGCGAAGAAGGCCCCAATTTCCACCTTGTGCCTCTGGCTCAAGTGTTGATGTCTTTTTTAAATTTTATTTTTGCTGTCGTCTCTCCCATCTTCTGTTGCCGCCGCCATCATGGACACCGGCCGTGTGCAGCCCCTCAAGCTGGCTCGGGTCACCAAGGTGCGGGGCAGGACCGGTTCTCAGGGCCAGGGCACCCAGGTGCGCGTGGAGTTCATGGACGACACGAGCCGCTCCATCATTCGCAACGTGAAGGGCCCCGTGCGGGAGGGGGACGTGCTCACCCTGCTGGAGTCGGAGTGGGAGGCCCAGAGGCTGCGGTGAGATCGACTCGTGGAGGGCCGTAGGCTGCTGGTCGTGGAAGGACTGGTAAGGGATGTGTAAAATAAAGAGTTTTATCCAAAAAAAATTATTTTTAATGTTCACTCTTCGTCGCAATCAGCTTTAGCGGCCGAGCGAAGCTGCCGAGGGTTCACCGGCCCGTGGGCCGGCCCTAACCCCAGCTCCTAGGTAACCAAGGAAATGGCCCGAGTGACCCCTTCACCACTTGTTATCAGTTATCCCCTTGGGCATGACCCTCCACCCCTCGAGAGGCACCCAGTCTCCTCGTTTATAAAATGGGAATAACAATAAATACAGAGGGCCCCAAAGGCTTGGTGCAGTTTCTAGCTTTGAATAGCTTGAAGCTGCGCTAGGACTTTTGGGATACTATGTCAGAGGAGTCTTGTCCATATTGTGCCATGGGGCGTCCACCCAACAGACTGGAGGAATGTGCCTCCTGCGCTTAAAGGCACTTGATGTTAAGAGACCCAGAGATTTATTTGTTGGGCAAAATTCTCTGTGTTGTTCCTTTTTCTCCCCGTTTCTCTAAAGGAAGCAGGAAAGGGAGATACTCTGAGATCATAGTCTGGAGGTAAGGAAGACCAACTCTAAGGGATATCTTGACTCATCAGGAAAAAACTTTTCTGCTTTAATACCTATGGTGCAGCTAAGCTTTCTTTAGCAATGAAAATCCATTCTCTTTGGTCCTGGGCCCAAAAATCTCTTAGGTCTCTCTTTGCCACAAACTTGATGCTCCAGCTCTCACAGTTCACCATATCTAGCAAACCCCAGACCCGCCACACTTCACCCTCTTAGGTTGTGGTGTATTATACCATGTCTCTTCTTTCCCTTTTCTGTGTCTTGCTCTGGAAACAGTAATCAGATCCATGCTACCTTTCTTGAAAAGGGTATGTCAGTCAATTGCCCTCTAATTTTACAGGCCAAAGATACAACTCCCTGGCCACCCTCCCCTCTTCATGTATTGCCTGGCCCTTTTAGAATGTAATCTCTTTGAGGGCAGAGAATGTCTTTTTGTCCTTGTATCCCCAGTGCTTAATAGAGAGCCTAGCATCTAATCTTTTATCAATGCTTGTTTATTCATTCATTCATTAACTTCTTAGGGAAAATACTAGGAAGTAAGTAAACATTACAGGGGTGGTGTATTTTGGCTTACCGTAAGACCTTAAAAATTAGAAATATCTGAAAATGGAATGGCCTGCTTTATCATATATTTTGGGTGCAGGAGGTGTTTAAGCAGAGGCTGTCCTAGGATGTTATAGAGGGAATTTATTCAGTAGGGAGTTGGAATAGATCAGTCATGTCAAACTCAAACAGAAACAGATCCCTTCTGGCCACATATCAACCTAGAAAACCAAAAATTAATGTTATGTTTTATTGTGTTTTTATTTATTTTGTTAAATATTTACCAATTATATTTTAATCTGGTTCTCCAGTGGGCCACGTGTTTGAAACCTCTGAACTAGATGATCTCTAAGGCATTTTCTGGGTCAGGTCTGACTTGGGTTGGTCTATCCAGTGGTCCAGTCTCAGGATTGAATCAAAATGATACACTTAAGAGATCATCAAACATTTAACAAAAAAGAAATGTACTTAATATAACCAAAAAAGATATTCAACAAGGATATCGCACTCAGGAAAGACACAGCCCTTCACCTCTCCATATGGAAATGTCTCTTACCAGGGTGTGCTGACTCACCTGGCAGGGACATCTATCCTGTTCCTACCACAGGTGCCTTCTAAATCTAAAGTTCCATGATAGAAGAAAAAACATTTCCCAACTATAATTGGAATATAAATTCACTTACAGGTAAGATTATACATTTTATCCTCTGAAGGTAAGCCAGAGAACAAGTCATAAACACTAAGCAAAGGAAATCTAAATCATTTCCCAGCATAAATGAAGAAATTTCTAAGTAATAGGATGTCAGAAGGATAATATCTAGATAAGAAAGTAGGTCAGTCACGGAACAAGAGTGATGAATAACCCAGGGACAGCCAAGTGCTCCCACTCTCCATTTAATATTGGAACAACCAGAGGAAGATACTTTGGATGGACCCCCGTGGAGAGTATACAGGAGCACATGGATGAGCTGGGAAAAGATGGGAAGGCATAAATAGGTTGGGATCTGAATTGTTGGAGGGAACACTCAAAATGATGAGATCACAAATCCCTTTTAGTATCTAAGGTTTCCATATAATGTGATAGACTTCTAAGGTTTTTCATAGAGGAAACTACTTTCTTCCTCTATGCTTTCAAAGATAAGAGAAACTTGATGACTAGTTAAACATCATCCTACTGAATTTGCTAATGTAGTTAATATCATGACCATTGTCCTGATTGCTCAGTTTCCAAACCTTGGTGTCACTTTGGCTTCTTTCTGTCCTTCCATAAGGGCAGCTAGGTGGCATAAGGGATAGAGTGCCAGGCCTGGAATCAGGAAGACCTGAGTTAAAATCCAGCCTCAGACACTTACTATGTGACCCTGGGCAAGTCACTTAATTCTTTGCGTCAGTTTCCTCATCTGTAAAATGAACAGAAGAAGGAAATGGAAACCACTCCAGTATCTTTGCCAAGAAAACTCCAAAAAGGATCATGAAGAGTTGGACATGACTGAATAACAGCTAAACGAATTTCAATAAGCCCTACCTCCATATCCCACCCCTTCTCCCAGACACAAGGCCTGGCATTTGACATCTTTAATCTCTCTTAAATTTCTTTCGGTACCAACTCTCGTCACCTTACTACAGATCCACATTGCTGAACTACTGCAATAACCTCACTACTAGTTCTGTCCACCTTCAGTCTCTCCAATTTGATTTAACAAACATTAAGTATCCACTATATGCAGAGCGCTATACTTAGTACTTAGGATACAAAGATTAAAAAAAACAATTCCTGTCCTCAAGGAGTTCATAGAATATTATGATGGACATGAAATAAAAATAGATAAACTACAAGATAGGGTACAAAAAGGGCAAGGGAAAGATCCAGATGAAATCTTCTATAAAACCTTAGGAGGCAGACAATACTTTTACCTACTTGTAGGATCAGGGGAAACAAATCTCTTGATGAGGTAGGTGGCACCTGAGCGGAGACATGAAAGGAAAGTTTTATTAAAAAGATGAAGAGACAGTATATTCCAGATGTCTGTAATGCCAGGACATCAGGCAACAGCTAATAATTCAGTTTGACTAGAATTAGAAAAGGTGGGTGAATATATTTTCACCTTTAGTAATGGGTGCCATTTAAGATTTTTAGCAGGGGAATGACACGATTATATGTATGCATGCAGAAGATTATTTTGGCAGCCATGTGAACAGTACATGTTGAAGAGGCGGATATTCTGGAGGCAAAGAAACCAGTTGAGACACAATTATAATAATCAAGTCGGAAGTGATGAGGATGTTGAGTTACTTGAGTAGAAGGTAAGGAGTAGATGGGAGATATTTTGGAGAGATAATTAGTAGCATAACCTACTGATTTTATATGGGGGACACAAAGAGGGAAGAGTGAAAGATAATTGAGACTTCTAACAGGGATGCAGGACAGCGAATGGTGGCACCTCATTTAACAGAGATGAGGAAGCCTGCTTAAGGAACATGTTTTTAGCAGAAAATGATGAGTTACGGTGAGTTTGAGGTAATGGATAAGCCTTTGGGTGGAAATATCCAGGGAATAATTGGAAATGTAGGTTTGAAATTTATAGGTTAAAAATATAGATTTCGGTCATCCCAGTAAAATAATAGTTGAAGCTATGAGAGTAGATGATATTACCAAGGGAGAAAATGTAGACAGAGAAAAAAATTATGGCAAAGAAGAGCTTGGGCAATACTGATATTTAAAGGATAAGGAGAAGATGGAGAAGTAGGACAGACCGGTAAGAGGAAAACCAGGAGAGTACAGTGTCAAGGAAGCCAAAGGAAGAGACATTTTGAAAGAGAAGTGACTAACGATGCAAATACTACAGAGAAGTTAGGGAGGATGAGGAATGAAGAAAGGCATTGACTTTGGCAATTAGTAGCCCAGTGGTGAACTTTGAGAGTGGTTTCTATGGAAATGAAAACCAAATTGCAAAGTATTTAAAAAATGAGTAGGTGGTAAGGCAGTCAAGGTAGGCCACTCTTTCAAGCAGTTTAGCAGTTAAGGGAAGAAAAAAGTTGGGCTGGTAGTTTGGGAAATATGACAGTTGGGTAGGTATTTTTAGGATAGAAAAATGGAAAACATTTGTTGGTAGAGAGGGAGCTAATGGAATAGGAGAGATTGAAGACACAAAAAGGAAAGCGGTGATTGAAAGAGCAAAGTCCCAGTAAAAGTATGAATATAAGAATGGAAGAGCATAGGGTTAACCTTGGCAAGGATAAAGCTCCCTTTTCCTCTGAGACAGGAAGAAAGGATGAGAGA